CATAACAAGCAACAAATTTTCCTACAGTAATCTTTGAAGATTTCAGGATGAAGATGGGGCCCCACAACATCAACTCAATCTGGTTTTTATGACATCATGAATATTATTTTTTAAGCGCTAATTTTACACCTGTTTTTTGGTACCAACTGCACGAGACAATTTTGAATGGTGCACATTTTTGACAACACTCTGGCCGGACCTTCTCAAAACGCTCAGATACTAGTTATAATTTTCTTAGGTCAAAGGTTAATTTGGGAATTTTACCATCATTTGCTTTCACAGGAGCCCCTAAGAAGAACGTCACCCCCATGTCAGCTAGAAGCAATCTTAAGAGGATGATGTCCCCTTTCCCAACAGAGTTTTCCCTCAGGGTTAGGGACATCTTTTATTGGTTGGTTTAGGGTTGAGGGGATGGGGAGATATTTTATGGAATTAGGGGACAAAACGGGGGGGATTAACTGGTTTGATGGGATGATTGGTATTTGTGATTTACTGTTTTTAGAAAATTACATTGGTACTGTTTCTTGTATATTGATATATTGAATATTGAATGTGAGTGTTCCTACCTCTATTTTTGTATGAGTATGCTTATATTGTATTGATATATCTACCATATCACAATGTACATTTCTACCTCTGATACTATTTATGTAATAACATTGTTTACATTTGATATGTAATGACATTGTTTACAGGTGAAGATCGTTGTCTTCATATATTGCACAGTTGTTTATTCTCTTAGTCTTCAAGTTAGATAGGTATTGAGAATTATATGTTTGTCATGTTTATTTTTAGGTTAATCAGGTCTTCTAGATACAGAGAGGTTATATTTAGTATAGATAGTATAATCTTTAGCCTCTTTAAAGAGCTGTAGAAAATGGCCTTTAATCTAACCTAGAATTCTGTGCCAACGAGATACAATTATTCCTGGCAATGCCACTCTACTCCCAAGAGAACGTTGAGCACCAAAGACACTCCACTGGGAGCTTGTCTTCTTGGCAGAACTGGCCTTTGGGTTAAGAAAAGCCCATACCTCAACTACTGACTAAGATATGAAACAGGATTGTCTTATCCTGCCAAGACATGGTAGGATAATTTAAGAAAGTTCGTTACATTTGATAATGGTATGTCAGTTATGTTATGCCTTAGCCAAATTTGGCTGACTCAACATTGCAAACGAGACTTTGGGTGATTGCCCAGGTAGTCAGTTGTCTCTGTCATTTGTGGCACATTTTGGATATCTCTCATTTCTTAACTAATATTTATTCCCTTCTCAGATCTTTGATGGAGTTGAAGATTATATAATTGTAATTACTCTCTACATTATTCAGACCCCTTGAAATAGAATATCTAGCAAAACTTTTGTTCTCAATATTGTTTGTTATATTTATTATTTGTTATTGTTTATAGTTGTATTTGGTATAGTTCTGTCTTATTTAGACAAAAGGGGGAGATGTAGGGTTAAGCCAGCCCCTTGGGGCGGGCTTGCCTCAGGCGAGTGTTTACTTATAAATTGGGCTCACCGAAGCCTGCGCGGCCCTTCCTGTTTCCTGTGCTCTGCGGGAACCTTGGATCTGTAAGTCTAATTTCCACATTAAAGCTGTGTATATATTATTTACAATCTGTCTGCATTAATTTACACTGATACACAGCTGCCGCTGTTGCTAAGGGGCCTGGGATGCTGGCACTGATGCTAAGGTAAAGGACCTGAGGTGCTAGGGCTGTTCCTAGGTAGCCTGTGATGCTGTTGTTGCTAAGAGGTCTGTGATGCTGGCGCTGTTGCTAAGGTAAAGGGCCTGAAGTGCTGGCAGTTTGGTCCATGGCCCGTGGGTGCTTGGTGCACTGGTGTTCTGGGTTATCAGCTGCCTTCAGGACACAACAGAGTAGTTTACTGGTTATGAGAGCTTTGACCCAGCTCTTTCTTCTTCCCTTGGTTTCAAAAATACCTCTCAGGATTATACATATGCTTCCTCCCTTGGAATTTATTATATAAAACTCTTGGATTTTCAGTGAACAGTGCTTTTGTTTTTACTGTTTAAACACAGCATTTTCTAATTTAATCCAGTTTAATTGTAAAACTATCTAAAAACATTCATAAGAAGTTATTATGGACACCTGACTCTGCACTCTAACACCAGGCCAATTGCTGAGTCAGCTCCTTGGACTTCTAACATGAGTCAGCACTTAGCTAAGGGACTGGACTTTCAACCACCAGTTCTGAACTGACAGCAAATGTCTAAGCAGGGCACTGTCTACAAGTCTCAGGTGTCTGCGACTTTCTCAGTTTTGTCAGATGAGAGACTGGTTCAACTATGTATTCAACATTTCTTACAAAAAAAAATCTGAGTGTTTTCCTCCTAGTGCCGACTAGCATGTGCATGTGGAGACAAACCAGGTGCTGGGTAGCAGGGGCTACTGCTGGGCTCTCTGGACAGCCTTCATGGATGCTTCTTTGGTGCAAGTAACTCACATGGGCTCTGTCTAGCTTAAAAGGAAAGGGGACCTGAACAGTTCAGGAACACCTGGGTTCTATTGTAGCGTCCAAGACTCAGAACATAGTGAACAAGCAAGCTGACCTTGGAAGGGAAATAGCTGCCTCTCAAGGGTACAGTAGGTGACCTACCAACTAACTTTTCACAAGAGTCCCAGTAAGGGTCAGGTCTTTACCTGCAGGTCCCTCAATCAAGGAGTTAGTAGTTGACCATGTGCCTATAGTCGTCACCCGTGTTTTGTGGACTGCATGCCTGTGGCCATCACCCGTGTTTTGTAGACTGCATGCCTGTGGCCATCACCCTTTGTTTTGTGGACTGTTTGTCTGTGGCCGTAACCCTGTGTTTTATGAATTGCTTGCCTGTGGCCATCATTTATGTTTTGTGGACTATCTGCCTGTGGCCGTCACCCGTGTTTTGTGGACTGCATGCCTGTGGCTGTCCCCGTGTTTTGTGGACTGCATGCCTGTGGCTGTCCCCGTGTTTTGTGGGAGTGTATTATCCCTGTGCACTGAAGGCTGCACCAGCAAGGCTGTCACCCCTGTTTTATATGGGTATATTATTGATGGCCATATCGGCAAGCCTCATACACAGAGTACCAGCAATGTTTCACACAGTCTAAAAATCATATTTTTTAATCATAAATGTGGAAACTGAGCCTTTAGTGGGATAGGCTGTGTGTCTAAAAGTCCAACTTAGAATACTAAGACAAGCCAGGATACGCACCTGAGGTTCTGCCTTTGGAGGGAGCATGGCCTATAACGGAAGAGCAGAGCCCCGTGTTAAATGGCCAGAGGTCGAATCCCATGTGAGAAACTGACTCTGTTCCTGTAATAAATATAACCCTAGCCAGGGTTACTGACCTCATGTAAGCAGAGCCTACAAAGATGGGGGCTATAGTAATCTAACAAAGCTCGCCTGAAGATCAGAGTGCAGAGCTAAGCCACTAGCTAACCATAGAGGCCAGGCAGTGGGGGCTCACACCTTTAATCCCAGCACTATCAAGACAGAGGGATCTCTGTGAGTTCAAGGACACCTTGGGCTATACAAAAGGTTGATTTAGTCTCAAAGAGAAACAGAGCCAGGCGATGGTGGCTCACACCTTTAATCTCAGCCCTGGGGAGTCACATGTCTTTAATTCTAACACTAGGGAGGTGGAGACGGGAAGGGATATAGCTTGGGGGGGGGTGGAGAGGAATATAAAGCAGTCCGAGGATTCTGTCTGAGGTTTCATAGACAGCATTCAGTCTGAGGATTAGTAGAGACAGGACTGCCCCTTCAATCTGAGCATTTGTAGAGGTAAGAATTCTGTAGTTGCTGGCTGCTCCGCTTCTTGATCGCTCAGCTTTCACCCGCTATACCTGACTCTGGGTTTTTATTATTAAGACCAATTAGGATTCGTGCTACAGGGGTTAGGGGTCCTTTTCCGCTGAAGTGCAATAGTGTTACACCTGTAACTTAAACAATTTCACCTGTCAAAAGGCCTCGCTGATCGGCTACAACCGTTCACTCCTTCATTCACCTGAACTCAAAGGTGTGAAGGGGCCAGGAGACCAGCTGAGGAGCTGAGACTAGGTGGGACTCACACCTCAAGGCTGGATTTGTACCTTTGCTGTAAGAAGTGTTTGATCATCTAATTTTCCTGGTGCATGCAACCAGAGGTGGTCCAGGCTCTTTAGATAAACAGAGCCAAAACCACAATGCATTTAATTGGAAATACAACTTAAATGTCACTGAGCACTATCAGTTAATCCAGCGTCAACTACACACACCGGATGTCACAAGTGGAGTGCCAGCCATCTTTAGGGACATCCCCGTGGAAAAGGGACCACAGCAATCCAAGTGGAATTGCACGGGACCTGGCGGGTGTCCTGCACACTCGTGGGCTGACAGATCTGATTCCACGTTATTCCAGAGAGCACTTACTCTGTATAGAAAACGAAGCTGGACACCCAAGAAGGAAGAGGAGAGTGTATCCTTTGGTGGTCGGGGAGGAGCAGACACGCGCCTAGACCCATGCCTGACACTGCTGCCCTCTCTGGACCTTAGCGGCAGTGACCAACACCCCACATTAACCTAGGGCTGGCAGGCCCACCTGAGTGATCTGTGGTGGCAAAGCCAAGTGACCTTAAATGCTGGCCCCAGACTTACTGGCTTCTTTGTAGTCTCAGTGCTCCCCTTCTGCGTTCATGTGTAGCAAGTCAGGCCCATGGCTTGCTTACTCTGAACTTTATCTAAGTTTCTATGATAATTGAGGAGTCATAAAATTCTTGGAAAATACCGTCACTATTTAAGGGGGAGTTTTCACAAAACACATTGATGGTGCAGAAATTTGAAAAATAAACATGTGTAATGAATTGCTAGATTGCAGCCTACATAGCGGGGCCATGCTTTCCCCAACACTCAGCAAACAGAGGCAGGAGGATGGCTCTGATTTTTAAAGCAGGACTCACAGCAAAACCCTGACTCGAGGGAGGAAGACTAATGAGAAAAAGAAAACATGACAACAAAGAGAGTTTTGGGAGCTTCTTTTATTACACTGAGGAATCCCAGAGAAGCCCAGAGCCGCTGAGCGCGACATCTGCACAGGTCCCTGCTGCCAGTCCCAGGGCACAAACTGCTCACGATTGATACTGGAGAGCACCGCTCATGGATTAAGAACACCCTGATGACCCCTTATGTCTGATTTTGATTAAATTCCCATACATGTCTAGAAGTCCAAGTTATGTTCTTTCTAGAGAATAGATTATGACACATGATTCTCAGAGCCCCTGAGGAAGGGCAGGAAGCGAGCCTGTGCCACGGTACCCCCATTTAACTGGGGCAGCTACTCCAAGCCTGGCCAGCTAGTGTTGTTTATTTTTGATATGATAAATCAATGAAAACCCACAGATTGACCTCTAGAGAAGTGGTCAGGTTTGTTACAACGACGACCATGTCAGTGTTTCCACCCACTCTGCTGCTGAGAAACAAGTAGACGTGCGGTTACACAGATCACCAAAACTGTCACCAGGCCACCTGAAGCTGTACTGTTCCCTCCATGAACTCTGCATAGCACGCCACTTTCCCATGACTTTAGGTCATACATATTCTTCCACTGCTACTTGTAATAAAATAACAGAGAATAAGAATAGATGGTTCTAGATACTGCTCTGGCTCGCCCTTGACCTGGAAATCAACTGCTTAAACAGAAAACAAGAGCCTCTTTCTAAGTGACAGCATCTATTAGCAGTCCAGTGATGGACACAAGGCCAGGGAAGGTAGCCTGTCGCGTTCCTTTTATTCAATGCCAACAGGCTCCATGGCAGCTAGAGCACGCCACTGCTTCTGGGTGCAGGCGAGGAACAGCGTCAGAGGAGGCAGGTGTGATGGCAGGGACGGTGGCCAGCGTCTTTACTCCACGTCAGCAGGCTCTGTAGCTATGAGAGCATTCAGCTGCTTCTGGGCGCAAGACAGGAAGAGCTCCAGGCTGGACAGACTGCGCTGGCGGGTGACCTGATCGAGCTGTTGATGGGTTTACAAAGAGGAGAGAGAGAGAAACTTGAGTTGGGGGAAAGTTAATCCAATGCCAGCGAGACCCTTCAGGGGGGCTTTCTGTGTGAGAGGACTCGAAGCCCAGTGGGACTCCCGACGTCTGCCTGTGCAGTCACGGTTGCTGGCCTGTTATCTGAGAGTGACCTCACACTCTCACAGCTGACTGTGACCTGCAGTTACTGGAGAAGTGGTGTGCAGACGCTCAGGATGATTTTATAAAATGTGAGTACAAACATGCTGTTTTTTTAAAAAACAGATCAAACACCGTAAAGATCCTATCAAAATCACAGATGCAAAGGACAGAAAGAAAATCAGTCACATCAGGCTTGGAGTCAGGAGGGAAGCTGAATGAGGTGACACCCTGAATTTAGTCAAGCGTCACGGGTCGGAGAGAAAGCTCACCAGTCAGGGTCAAGAGCAGGCATTGCTCTTGCAGAGGCCAAGAGTTTGGTCCCCAGGACTCACACAGAGAGGCTCACAACTGCCTGTAACCCCAGCTCCTGGAGACCTGATGCCCTCCCTGGACTCAGAGTACCCACATGCGCATGCCCGTGCCACACAGACACAAACACACACATAAGTAAGCATAAAATCAATCTTTAACTTAGGGTTATTTTAGTAGATCAACATAAACTAATGCAGTAGTAAAAGACCAGGTTCAGCAAAGACAGTTATGGGTATGATGACTTTCTGGATGATGGGGATAACGCTGCTAACGGAGCAGAAAGATACGCTAACAGTGAGAAGCTGATGCCCGCACTTTACACAATGGGAGCCTTCGGGAGAGGGCTGTGGGGCTCTATTTTAAACATAAACCTGCCATATTCTCCCCACTGGCACCCCTAAATCCAAGTGAGAGTCTCTACTCAACTGTATTTAATAATCCACTGAAATTCAGGGTGACTAAAAACTAGAAGACAAAGCTTTCAAAGGATCCAAGAATCAACTGACAAAAAATGTAATTTAGCAAAACAGTTGTATAGGAGGACTGGGCTGGACGAGACTCCCTTCAATTCTGGGATTCTGAGGTTTTCATGAATGAACAGCAGAGTTCTGGCTCACCTTTTCCCTCTCAACGCTTTCCCTTCTCCTCTGTTGTCTGATGCCTCTGGACAGCTGCGAAAACAAACACTCCTCCCACCCACAGGATCATGAATAAGAGAACCATTAGGTTCAGTCCCAGCTGAGCAGAGACACGGTCTGCCTTGCAAATGACCGTATCCTCGGCTTCTAGAAATAAGTCTGGAAATGTCGGACATTTGTCGAGATTTCTGAGGACGATGAACTGATCTGTGCACGAGCCCAGTAAGGGCAGAGGCATCTACAGGGAAACGGCTGATGTATCCTAAATTCCAAGACAGGAGGTCCAGCTTCATCCACAAGGGGGATGCTAGAAAGACATTTTAGTATAAGCAGGGCATGTGCACGTGCACACACACTCACATGTACACACATACACTCACACTCACACACACACACACACACACACACACACACACACACACACACACGCTGTTTAGTTGTATTTGGAGCAATAAGGAAATTTAAAATCCAAGCGTATGCCATTCAGATGAGAGGTCCAGACCATTCTGGACAGAGTCTGTATGTGGAATTCCTACGGCACACAAGCTGGTCACTCAGGTAGTAACAGGTGTGACCAAACTGCTTCCCAGAGTGAGTATACCAGGTCACCAGTCCCTAGCATGAGGGAACCGTGTCCTCATTCTCTTCTTTCGACAGCAGCAAAGTTCCCACTGTGTTGATCCGTCTGTGACCTTTCACCCTTGGCTACCCCCATGCCCACGTCACGTATGTTTCATTACCACCCCCCTTCTGCACAGACAGCATCTTTCTCCCCAATCTGTGGTCCCTGGTCTGGTTTCACTGCCTACCCCACGGTCCCAAAGACTCCCACATTTGAACATTAACTGTCCGGAGGAGTGCACGACAGAGAACATGTGGTACTTTTCTTTCTCAGTCTGCGTTACTTTGCTTCATATAATAATTTCCAGACCAATCCATGTATCCTGCAGATTTCACTTTTCTTTATGGCTAAATAAAATTCCATTGTGGATATACATGTTTTTTTTATTATCCATCTGTCAACAGACATCTAGGTTGACCCTACTTTCTGGCTGCCGTGAACAGAGTGGGGATGAACAGGGGTGTGCAAACATCTCATGGGGGACAGAGGCCTTAGGATGGGTGTCCAGGTGTGATGTAGCCAGGCCATGTGGTCAGGAGTTTCTGTGAAACCTCCACCAACCACGAGATGGACCCTCCGACTAGGAGAGAAAAGAGCAAAGTAGTTCTAACTTGCATCTCTCTGATGGGTTAGGATGCTGAGCACTTAAATACTTGCTGGTCGTTTGTGTTCCTTCTTTGGAGAGCTCTGCCCATTTCGCCAGTCCATTATCAATCGGCCGGATTCTCTGTTTGCCTGTTTTGCAGCTATTTCTATATTCCAGACACTACACCTAACTGCAGCCTGACTGGGAAGCGTTTTCTCCTCCTCTGGAGGGCATTTATTCTCACTTCTGATAGTTTTCTGTAGGAGCTTGTAAGTCTATGTTCCCATACCTGTCAATTCTTGGGCGATTTCTGACTTCAAGTGTTCTTCCTATGCTTTCTTCTGGCTGATTCAGCATTTCAGGATTGAAATTAAGGTCTTTGATCTAACTTGAAATAATTTTTGTGCGCAATGAGAGTTATGTATCCATCTTCATCTACAATTTGAGGTCCATCTTTGTCAACACCGCTTGTTAAATAAGCTACCCCACCCCACCCCACGTGTTCTGGTGTGTGAAGGTAGGCACAGCTGTGTTTATTCGCTGATCCCGTGCTCCCCTACTGTGTGTCAAGCTGTCGTCATCACTATGGCTCTGTAGTACAGCTTGAAGACATGGACTGTGGTCTACTTAGCGGTATTCTTTCTGCTTGGCACTTCTCTTGCTATTCATGATCTTTTGTGCTTCTATATAACTTTTAAGACTTTTCCCCCTAGTTTTGTAAATAATTCTATTGGACTTTCAGAGGGAATTTACTGAATACATACATTACTTTTGGTAATGTATTATTTTATGATATTAATTTTATGATATTAATTCTTCCAACCCAGGAGCACGGAAGGTGTTTCAACGGTCTAGTATCTTCTTCAAATTCTGTTTTCAAGGTCTTAAACTTTTCATTGTAGAGGCTTTTCATTTTCTTGGTGAGGCTTTTCACTTTCTTGGTTGGGCTTATTCCTAAATGTTTATAAAATGTTCCTTTTAAATATTACTACTTAGTCTTTGAGGATAATGAACACTGAGAAGTGTCTTAGGTTTTCTATTGCTGCCATAAAACACCATGACCAAAATCACCTTGGGGAAGAAAGGATTGATTTCACTTTACTCCTTCAGGTCACAGCCTGTCATCAGGAAAGTCAGGGCAGGAACGCAAGTCAGAAACCTGGATGCAGGAGCTGAAGCAGAGGCCATGGAGGAACTTTGCTCCCTGTTCTCACGGTTGGCTCAACCCTTGTTCTTATGCCATCCAGGATCACCTGCCCAGGACACTGCACCCAGTGGGCTGGGCCCCTTCCCACAATCAGTAAGAAAATGCCCCAAAGGCTTGCCCACAGGCCAATCTGATGCAGCCATTTTCTCAACCCTGAGTTCCCTTTCCCAAATGCCTCTAGCTTGCACCAAGTTGACTAAAAACTAACCAGGAGAAGATGCCACTGAATGCCTATAGATCAGGTAATGTTTCCCTGACTATTTATTCATTTATTAGTTTTCATTATTTTATTTCCCTGACTTTTAAAACTTTACATTCCATGTCTGTTCTGTATTAAACAAATTTTGAAAAATTAGCCAAGGAATGATCTTATTCCTTCTGAAACCGTTCTTTTAGACCCTAAACAGACAATCACACAAACTGCAAGTCCACGGAGAACAGTGGTTGACTGCTCCTGGGATTGCACAGTGATAGAATTTAACTGCTCGGTCTGACCTCCCCCATCACAGCCTGGAAAACTGAAGCTGAGTAGGTAAGAGACCAGGTTTGCATTCTCCATAGTACTCCACGCTTAAACAAAATTCCCGCTTCTTAAAAGGACATTTAAATACATTTGAGTTTGGCTGTTGTATATCAAGGAGAGTCGTTTTTGATGAGATAGGTTCTTCAGAGGCTCCAAGGCCAGAGAGACACTGAGAAGCTCTGGATGCTGATACAATACCATATTTTGACTTAAGGCCAGATGCTAGCTAACACACACACACACACACACACACACACACACACACACACACCACCCATGCACAGCTCTAAGATCCTGGACGTTTTCTTAGCCATCCACAAAGGGCTGATAAACATGAAGACCTGGATCTCCCTCTGTGTGGTCTGCAGTGTGAAGCTCTGACATTTCGGGATGAAGACAGCCACCTTTCTTTTCTCTTGTTTCTCTTCACCGGAGTTGAAAAACAATCAACTTTGTCTACAGCATGTCTAGCTGCTTTAACGGGGGCTCCCTGGTACTTCATCACGATGGCCATGCCTGCTCTGAGTCGTTTCTCTATTCAAAAGATTGTTTTCTATTTTTAGATAAGTAAGTCTGACGTGAGAGTCCACATTGTATGCAAAGCTGAAGGTCAGATGCAGAGCCCTCTGTGGGAACGTATCTGTGACCTTACGGTAAACCGTGTTGATAGGGACTTTGAGTCAACCGGGGAAATTAGTATCGCATAAAATACATGCTTAGAATAAATCAGACTGAAAGATTCAACAGTCTGAGCAGCGGTTTGACCCGAGTCGGTGCCGGCTGCCTTCATCTCGAACTTCGGAGGGTGTGGGTCTGTCCCCTTCACCAGGACACTCACAGTCCACATCTGAGGATGACAGTACAGAAAGATGCCGTGTTCCAGATGGGCTACAGATGTTCGCTGGGAGCAAATGACAAGCGGGTAAGCGGGCACAGGGAGTCTAAACTG